AAATCTTAGTTTTTAAAACTGTGTACAATTTTGTTTTTTGTATTTCTTTCTTTCTTTTTTTAAAATTTATGGCCTACATTGATGATGCTGAGCAGACTTTCACGGGCTGGTCCAGGGGACTTCAGCATGATCTGTAACACCTTCTTCAATAAGAAAATGCTTTCCACCCAGAGGGATGGGATGGGATGGGGAGGGAGGTGGGGGGGGGGGGGGGATTGGGATGGGGAACACATGTAAACACATGTAAATCCATGGCTGGTTCATGTCAATGTATGGCAAAAACCACTACAATATTGTAAAGTAATTAGCCTCCAACTAATAAAAATAAATGGAAAAAAAAGAAAATGCTTTCCAAGTTCTAAACTACCAACTGGCAAACTAACTTGCAGGACCCAATTTATCATATGGCTGAGTTTTGACCGAATTAAATTTTTAAATAAAATTTGTGAAGTATCTTTAACTTACTTTCGTTCTGCTTAATGTTTGCAGTGCTAAGCGACAGATGACCCTGAATATATAATCAGAGATACATGCACAGATACCCTCAGGGGACATATTGAGTCAATACTCAAGATTACACATTTTGTCCTATGTGAATTAATTCTAAATTGCTTTATGGAACATAAAGAACTTGATATTTTATATTGCATCATAAAAGGAACTTCTATTGAGTAAAAATAAATGGAGTGGCAAGAAGGGAGCTGAGGGCAATGCATTGACTTGTATTGGATAAAAATGGAATAATGGACACCTTCTCTCAGGGTGGCAGTTACGATTTCACCAAGGTCAGCAGTGACAAAATCTCTATGAGAGTCTTGACCTCAATCCAGTTGTTTAAAATGGTAATATCAACATTGTAAACCTGTTACAGCAGACGGCAACCCAGTCACCTCTCAGTAACGCATGCCTAACCGCCCATGACCTTGGCTACAGGTGGACAAAAAGGCCCCCCGGAGCATCTGCTGGGCTTCCGCAGTGCAGATGGTAAAGAATCTGCCTGCAATGCAGAAGACCCTGGTCAGGAAGATCCCCTGGAGGAGGAATTGGCAACCCACTTCAGTTTTCTTGCCTGGAGAATTTCATAGAGGAGTCTGGTGAGCTATAGTCCATGGCGTTGCAAAGAGTTGGACATGACTGAGGGGCTAACACAATAAAACAAAGAGCACCTGCTGGGAGATGGTGTAGACTGCTGAATGGGTCAAAACCCACTGCCCACTTTGGGATTCCCACCTCACAGTTTACGATTGTTAAAGGGCTTGAGGGGAAAAAAGACCAAGTCTGCCAGCATCCACCCCTCTCTCCTTTCTCTTAACTCTGTTGGTTCTGGGTTACTCATTGTCTTCTCTGCTACAGCTCTGAAAGCAAACCATTCAGTTCCCACTCATTTGAAATGGATCACTGCAGATTTGATTTTTTTGAAATACAGAACACCACAGAGCAACTCTGTAACAAGCTCCAGGAGGAAAAAATGGAGGGAAGCTTGGAAACATGTCACCCAGCCTAAGAACAGAGGGTACATTTACAGAGTGAACCCGACCTGCCAAACACCAGAGAAACATAAGCAAATGTATTCCAAACAACATGGAGTACATTCTGGTGGACTTGGCCTCACTTACAAGAAAGGCATCTTTGTTTGATTCAAATTTAAGTTGGTGAAACTGCCAGTTAATGAAGGGGTAAGAAAGTCCTTCAGAGAAGCCTCAGTGGTTATGGAGAAAAGAGGATTCAAAAGTACGTGCAGAAAGAGCTCCCTCGAAGGCGTGCTGCCTTCTTAATGAATCAGGGGACCAATGTATGTTTCTGCACCGGGGGTGGGGGTGGTTTGGCTGCAGAAAGGAAGGGGAGGATGGATAGGAAGGGTCAGTGCGTCCAGCCCAGCCAGCAGCATGGGGTGAGTGGCTGCCGAGGGGGGTCTGGAGGAAGGAGGATTTTCTGTCTCCTGGCTGGCATTCATTCACTCATCAGGCAACCTGCAGTTCAGTGTCCTGACACCCAGCCCTGAGTTCAGAGAGGTTACACCAGCCGTCCCCAACCTGCCTCTCATTGCAACACAGAGGCTCAGAAAGTGAACGAAGTCTTATCTCTTTGTATTCAATTCCTATTTTCTGAGAACCCACAAGATTCATCATATCTAACAGACATTTCACGCTCATGGGAAAGTCTACAGTCTCAGCCCTCAAGGCAATCTCTTAAAAGTTTGATTAAAGCTGACTCACAGTCTGGATTCCAAAGCTGTTCAACCACAAGGCAGTGGAAGAAACCACCTAGAGAAGCTCTGAAAAACACCCTCAGGGTCACCCGGGTGCCGTGGCTGGCCTGTGGACTTCTGCCATGCACCTGGCTGGTAGGTCTGCACCATGCTCCTGGCTTCCTGACCAAGCGTGTCATTTCCAGCTTCCTTCCTTTGCCTGAACTGATATCCTAGACCCTGGACTTGCTTCTGTTCTTATCACGTGGATCCTGGTAACTTCCCCGCTCCACTGTCTTTTGAGGCTCTTCCTCAAATGCAGACAGATGGCACCCAGGGCTCTGCTTCCCTCTCCTCCTTCCCTGAGGACCACTCCCTTGCCTGTTGTCCATGTTGCATAAGTCTAGACTGGATCCTCCCTCTGCTCAGTCCCTTAGGGCTGACATCATACTGTCTTCAGAGTTGAGAAACTCGACATCTGCCTGGAACAGCGCCCCTGCTTCCCCCAGGCAACCATCCCCCACCTCCAACTCCTGCAGGTCTCAGATGCTTTCAAGGCACCTTCACCACACTTGGTGACCTTGTTTCATGCTGGAGATGGCTATTCCAACCTCAGATGGTGATATGTATGTCTCTGTGTCCTTATTCTAGACTGATCTATCTCATCTTCCAAACTTAGGTTCTTCAGTTCAGTTCAGTTGCTCAGTCGTGTCTGACTCTGTGACCCCATGGACTGCAGCACACCAGGCTTCCCTGTCCATCACCAACTCCCAGAGTTTATTCAAACTCATGACATTGATGATGTCATCCAACCATCTCATCCTCTGTCATCCCCTTCTCCTCCTGCCTTCAATCTTTCCCAGCATCAGGGTCTTTTCCAATGAGTCCGTTCTTTGCATCAGGTGGCCAAAATATTGGAGTTTCAGCTTCAGCATCAGTCCTTCCAATGAATATTCAGGACTGATTTCCTTTAGGATGGACTGGTTGGATCTCCTTGCAGTCCAAGGGACTCTCAAGAGTCTTCTCCAACACCACAGTTCAAAATCAATTCTTCAGCACTCAACTTTCTTTATAGTCCAACTCTCACATCCATACATGACTACTGGAGAAACCATTGCTTTGACTAGACGGACCTTTGTTGGTAAAGTAATGTCTCTGCCTTTTAATATGCTGTCTAGGTTGGTCATATATTTTCTTCCAATGGAGCAAGCATCTTTTAATTTCATGGCTGCAGTCACCATCTGCAGTGATTTTGGAGCCCCCCAAAATAAAGTCTCTCACTGTTTTCATTGTTTCCCCATCTATTTGCCATGAAGTGATGGGACCAGATGCCATGATCTTAGTTTTCTGAATGTTGAGTTTTAAGCCTACTTTTTCACTCTCTTCTTTCACTTTCATCAGAGGCTCTTTTGTTGTTCTTTGCTTTCTCCCATAAGGGTGGTGGCATCTGCATATCTGAGGTTATTGATATTTCTCCCAGCAATCTTGATTCCAGCTTGTGCTTCATCCAGTCCAGCACTTCTCATGATGTACTCTGCATGTAAGTTAAATAAGCAGGGTGACAATATACAGCCTTGACATACTCCTTTCCTGACTTGGAACCAGCCTGTTGTTCCATGTGCAGTTCTAACTGTTGTTTCCTGACCTGCATCCAGATTTCTCAGGAGGAAGGTCAGGTGGTATTCCCATCTCTTTTAAGAATTTCCCACAGTTTGTTGTGATCCACACAGTCAAAGGCTTTGGCATAGTCAATAAAGCAAAAGTAGATATTTTTCTGGAACTCTCTTGCTTTTTCGATGATCCAGCGGATATTGGCAATTTGATCTCTGGTTCCTCTGCCTTTTCTAAATCCAGCTTGAACATCTGGAAGTTCACGGTTCACATACTGTTGAAGCCTGGCTTGGATAATTTTGAGCATGACTCTGCTAGCATGTGAGATGAATACAATTGTGCGGTAAGTTTGAACATTCTTTGGCATTGCCTTTCTTTGGGATTGGAATGAAAACTGACCTTTTCCAGTTCTGTGGCCACTGCTGAATTTTCCAGATTTGCTGGCATATTGAGTGCAGCACTTTCACAGCATCATCTTTCAGGATTTGAAATAGCTCAACTGGAATTCCATCACCTCCACAGCTTTAGGTTCTTAGCCCACTGCAAACCAGGCTCCCACACCCACCAGTGTCAAACTCTCAGCATCTGACTTTAACACTGCTATTCCTCCCAAAGTTCCTCTGATCTGGGGCAAAACACACACTGGCCTGGAGGAGCTGAGACCAGTCAAGAAACAATGACCAACAGTTCCTTCCTCTGACTCAATGATGTGTTTGAGAGGGCTGTCTCCCTGCTCTCCAGCTTGGGTCATAAAGCAGTTAGGAGGTCCAAAGATTCAAGTGAAGGCATCCCAAGAATCATGAAGCCCTGAGAAGTGAAAGAAACCAGCATTGCTGTCAGCCAGATGGAGGGCCCCCCACCACGTCCTCTCCTGGATCAGCAGAGCTAATGCCACAGCCCCACCCCCCAAGCTGCTCCCCCAGCCCCGGGCTCTGCACTTGCCTTTGCCACCTCGAGCAGCGCACTTGATTAGAATCACTGGCTCCACAGAAAGACAGCATCTCATTAGTCCCTGCACAGACACAGGTCTGACACATGGAAGGAACTTTATAGATGATGAATGAATGCATCAATGAACAAAGGTTTGGCTTTACACACAGAGTGAGCAACAGATGCAACACGCTTATAAAGCAGCAGTGATGCGCATGAGGTCACATTTTCGAGCCTTCACCCCTTACTCTAGCCTGTCCCCTCGACTCACCTGTAAGGCTCCATGGTCCGGATGCCATAGAACAGTGCCTCCTCCAGCAGCCCGAGGTTGATGCAGGCATCCATGGCGCAGTCGAGCACCTTCAGCTGGTAGATGTTGATATCAGGAAGCCGCTCAGCGTTACTGCTTATGATCGACTGGCACATGGCCAGAACCTGTTCCCACTCTGTTATTAACCTCAGTTAAGGATTCATTGTGTTCATCAAGGGAAAACAAAAGTAAAATGAGAGTCTCTACAAGGCTGAAGAGCTCCCAGGCACAGGAGGGAAGGAAGTGCCCATTATTTTGCACAGATGAGCTGCCTGAAAACACACTCGAGAAACAAAAACATGTAAGTGGTGTCTCAGAGAAGGAAATTCTGTTTACATCAACAAACCATCTTCCAACCAAGCCTGTGCTTTGGGGGATTAGACTTTCAGAGAGTCATTCTTCCTTCCTAGTCCTACTAGATGAATTCTCTTGAAACCCAGTCCTCAAATGAATGCAGCTATTTATTAAACTGAGCTAAAGACTAAGTTCACTTTATAATTATTTACTCTGCTAGCTGCTGTTTCAAAACTCATCTGAAATTAAAGAAGCTTTAGAGAGATTCCTTTTAAAAAAGGAGGAGCTCATTCTTGCTTCTGTGTCGTTTGAACCTTGGGCATATATGAAGCTAAAAACACAACCCATAGGCGCACACAAGGGGAAGCAATTGAAAGAAATCCATTCTACTGGATCTCAAATTTTTTTGAGTATAAAACAAAAGTGATCCAAGTCTATAAAACAAGGTGTGTGTGCTCAGCCAAATCTACTTCTTCCAGCATTCAGACTCTCAGGGCACTGCTTTCCAACACATTAGTAAACAGTTTAAATAAACCAATCAAGTCAGCTGTGTGAGTGGGAGATCATATCTTTCTTTTTTAACTTTTTATTTTATTTTGTATTGGGGAGGGGCTTCCCTGGTGGCTCAGAAGGTAAAGAGTCTGCCTGCAATGCAGGAGACCTGGGTTCGATTCCTGGGTCAGGAAGATCCCCTGGAGAAGGGAATGCCTACCCTCTCCAGTAGATTTGCCTGGAGAATTCCATGGACAGAGGAGCCTGGGGGGTTATGGTCCATGGGGTGGCAAAGAGTCGGACATGACTCAAGAACTATCACTAACATTACAGCCAATTAATGTTGTGGTAGTTTCAGGCAAACAGCAAAGGGACCCAGCCATACATATACATGTATCCATTCTCCCCTAAACTCCCGAGAGCTCATATCTTTATTAATCCTCACAAGAAATATATAATCGTCTGAAGGCAGAATACCTGGCACTACAGGCCTGACTTCTTGGGTAGAACTTCAAGCACCAAAATACACGGCTAACGAGCATTTCTGTACATGATACTCTATCACTTCAAGCCGAGTCCTGTCTTTGAGGAGTTAACTGTGGTCTTGCAAGAGGTACATTTACTGAAGAAAAGTGACTTTGTGGCTTTCTGTTTTACTCATCTGAAATGTGTGCTTAAAGTTTACTGCATGCATTCCCTAGAAGCTGGGGGAGGCAGTGTCTTAGGCAATGCACTGGTTTTGTAACAAACTCCAGGCTAACCTCTGTGGCTTTTCATCCTAGGATTAGCTATGTGATGGATTATCAGGAGGAACAACTGTCTCTTACACAATGCCCAGACATTTCTGTGGCAAGACTCTGACCCTATTTTAACATCAAATTGTGAGGCTGCCATTATTATTTGCCTATTCATTTATATATGCTCCAACTCATTTTAAAGAGGTTTGAGGTGACAAGCCTTGGAAGTAAAAACCAGATGCAGCCACTGATAGGAATACATCTGCTTTATGCCCCAGCAAGCTGGCAGGAACCACATGACGACTTTCCTTCGCAACACTGGCAAGTCTCCTGGCAAACAAGGCAAACGTTTCCTGTAAAAACACCTCAGTGAGCAAAAAAATGGAATGATTTTAACTAAGCGGCTTTTCTCCCAAGCTAATGCTGACATGTATAATGTTTGCTCAAAAGTTTAGTCCCTGGCATTTGCTGGGTGTTTACAAGTCATTCTGTTCCAGTGAGGAGAACAGGGCAGACAGCCTATCTGGAGAGAAAAGAGTACTGATGCCAGGACAGGCACCTTTCTGCAGAGTTTCCCATGACTGTTAAGAAAATTAAGGGGGAAAGAGAAAGGGGAACACAGTGAATCCACCTGGGAGTTAACTCCTTGAGACTCAAAGACTGACAACCCTGGGCTCTTACCATCGTCCACTGCTTACAATCCTCCTGTGGTCCCCGAGCCTACACATAACATCTAGTCCGGTGCAAGACAGTGAAGCAAGGCCTGACCACGTTCCCGTCTCTCACACTGAACAACTGTAATTGGGCCGCAGGTGGCTGCACCTCCGTGCGTGCACAGGCTTCTCCCTCAGGGTCTCCCCTTCTCCACTGCCTGCCTGGTGAACTCCTCCTAGCCCTCCCAGGCAGTCGCCTCCTCTGTGAAACCTTCTTTAACCTCCCAAAGTTGATTGCTGTGCTTTCAATGTCCCTCAAATATTAATCTATGTATTTACTACCCAACTACTCATGAGAGATGGGAGTGCACGCTTGTGTCTTCTTAATCCTGCCTGGACCATAAGTAAGTTATAACCAGTAAGGCACCTGGCACAATGCTGTCAGTAAAACTCATCCCATTGAGACTGAACTGATCATCCTTGGGCCCTAATTTCTCTGCAGGGCACTACACAGAACAAGTCTTTTCTGAAGTGTAACAACAGCTCTCTGGGCCTGAGAACAGCCCTCTTGCTCTCAGATTCGACTGCCTTCCAATTGTCTCCCATCCTGTCTGCAGTTTCAAATACCACTTGATCCTGGTTCCATGCCTCAAAACTCATTTTCTTCTTTATCCCTTTGAATGTGTCCTACCCCAAACTGAAGAGAAAATTTTAGATATGATCGGACTAATACTATTACCTTTCTCATTTTCTATTCTCTAGTTCTATTAATGGAGTCCAAGATCACAGGAGTGGTTTTTTTTCCCGGGGGGGGGGGGGGGCGGAATATATCATACTCTTAAGCTTTATTGAATTTTGATGTTTACTAAAAACCTTAAAATTCTATCATAGATTCTGTTGTCAAACTTTATACATATTTATACACTTGAACTTTCTGGCCCAAATAGAAGATGTGAGATACCCTTTTGTTGAATTTCATCTTCATCTCAGGCATCACTGCATCATTCAAACCTTCAAAGATCTTTTGAGCTCTTGATTTTGTCATCCCACCTCTGCCATCCTTCCATTCCATATACTTTTGAGAATTTGATGAACCTGTGCTCTGCATCCTCAGACAAGGTGCTGAATCAAAGGAAGAGGACTGGTTTGGGAACAGAATACTCCACAGTGTTAGTGATCCATTAAGCATCAGTTTTGCAGTATGGCTATTCAACCATTTAATGAGACGTCTGGTCGCACTAGCATCTAGCATAAATCTCTTGGTTACTTCTTAAAATCAAATCTCTTTCTGAAGTCTACATACAAACTTTACCAAAGAAAGCCGTGACTCTGTGAACTCACCGGCTCTTAATGAACCCCTGCAGCATCCTGGTGATCACAGCTTCCTCTCCATTCCTTTTGTCACTAGCTTGAGATTCTTTACCAAAACTGCTAACAACAAAAACTCACTGGACTATAGATTTCAGAAATTACTTATTTCACCTTTAAAAAATAGGAACATTTGTCTAACTGCCTCTCCTGCTCTTCTACAACTCTTTAAAGAACACTGTACTTTGGAAACCTCATTTGTAGATTTTCTTAGCGCCTGGGATATAATTTATCTGACAATGTTTTGCAATCTTTTTTTAATCTACCTTAGTCTCTTTCTCCTTACCTTGTGGTTTCTTTTTGTCACATTTTTGCTCAAGCTAATTCCACTACTGGAAGTGGCTGCCTCTCAGCCTCTGCCTATCTAAACCCTGTCCCTGATTTGGGCTACTTTTCACACAGGATAACATCGGTGGAGCCTTCCCAGAGGACATCCATCATATACGGTCTCTCCTTATTCTAAAATGTGACCCACTCACGGTCCTTACTATTTATGCCAAGAAAATGTACTATGCAGCAACTCCGACTACCACTGTAGTCATGGCTGACTATAGTCATTAAATTATAAGGATTTTAAGTTATATATTATAGAGATGTAGGTCATGGGAGGAAGGGAATCCAGAAATTTGTTACCTTGTACATATGTAAAGAGCATACTCCATACTATCCTACTAATGCTAGCTATAAATTTTGATCATCAACTAATGATGGTGAGGAATTCACGTTGACCTTACCACAATCTTTCCTCGCCATTACTAAAATTGTTGGCTGGGGTCAGGGATGCAGCCTGTGAGTGTGGAACAGAATGAAGCTCTCTGGCTCATGGAGAGGTCAAACCCTGGACTTGAATTCATTAATACCAGGCTCCAACCAGTAAGGAAGCAATCCTATGAACATCTCAGTCCATAGGTAAAAGGATACTCCAGTGTGCCTTCAGTTCTTCAATTTTTTTCAGGGATTCTTGGACTTCCTTCCATACCTGTTCATCACCAGTCAGCATATCAGCATCCTGTTCAGGCCACATTAAAAGGACAGAGGAAGACAAATTCCTTGATTAAAAAAATGGGCAAGAATAGACATTTCTCCAAAGATATTCAAATGACCAATGAGCACATGAAAAGATGCTCAACATTATTAGCCAACAGGGAAATACAAATCAAAACCATAAGGAGATATTACTTCACACCTACTAGGATGGTTATAATAAAAAAGATAATATATGTTTGTGAGGTTTTAGAAAAATTGGAATCCTTATCTATTACTGGTAGGAAAGTAAAATAGTGTAGCCACTTTGGAAAACAGTCTGGCAGTTACTCTAAAAGTTAAACAGAGTTATTATATAACAATTTCACTCATGTCCAAGAGAAATGAAAATATATGTTCATACAAAAACTTAAGCATAAATGTTCACAGTTACATCATTCATAGTAACAAAGTGGTAAAAATCCAAATACCATGAACCAATGACTGGGTCAATAGAATGTGGCATAATCACACAATGCAATACTAGTTGACAATAAAAAGAACTGAAGTACTACAACACGCTACAGCATAAATAAACATGAACAACAACATCCTAAGTAAAAGAAATCACTAACAAAGGACCACATATTATATGATTTCACCAATATGAAATGCTCAGAGTAGATAAATGCATACAGACAGGAAAGTATATTAGCAAATGGCTAGGGCAGGGGGGTGATAGGTATAGAGAATTGGGGAGGGACTGCTGATGACTTTTTAGGGGTGATGAGAATGTTTAAAAGCAATTGTGGTGATAGTTTTCATCACTTTCTGATATGATGAAAAGCTACAAATTGCTACACAAAAGCTATCAAATTGTACACTGTAACTGAATTGTATCCTATGTGAATTATGTCTCAGTAAAGTTTACATAAATTCATATATGTATGTATGAATATATTCGGGCTTCCTTGGTGGCATTAGTGGTAAAGAACTTGTGTGCCAATGCAGGAGATAAAAGAGACTTGGGTTCAATCCCTGGGTCGGGAAGATCCCCTGGAGGAGCACATGGCAACAGATTCTAATATTCTTGCCTGGAGAATCCCTTGGACAGAGGGGCCTGGTTGGGCACAGTTCATAAGTTCACAAAGAGTCAGACATGACAAGCGCCTTAGTGCACATGCATGTATGTATTTATCAGGAAAGAGAACAGAGGCAAGAGCAAAAATTATTTGCCAGGAGACCCATGAATAACACTTTGATCAAATATTTAGTCATCAATCAAAATGAGGATAGGTAAAAGATGAGTACAATTATACCCATGTGAACCAATTTGATTACTAAAAAAACTAAAAAAAAAATTAAATAACTTAAAAAGTAATTCAGAGCTTCACAGGTGGCTCAGTGGTAAAGAATCCACCTGTAATGCAGGAGATGTGGGTTCGATCCCTGATCAGGGAAGATCCCACCTGACTCGGAGCACCTAAACCATTGTGCCTGTGCTCTAGAGCCCGGGAGCTGCAACTACTAAAGCCTGAGTGCCCTGGAGCCTGCACTCCACTACAAGACAAGCCAGTGCAATGAGGAGCCTAAGCACCACAACTAAAGGGTAGCTCCCACATGCTGCACGCAACTGGAGAAAAGTTTGTGAAGCAACAAAGCCCTGCTGCTGCTGCTAAGTCGCTTCAGTCGTGTCCGACTCTGTGTGATCCCATGGACTGCAGCCCACCAGGCTCCGCTGTTCCTGGGATTCTCCAGGCAAGAACACTGGAGTGGGTTGCCATTTCCTTCTCCAATGTGTGAAAGTGAAAAGTAAAAGTGAAGTCTCTCAGTTGTGTCTGACTCTTAGCAACCCCATGGACCGCAGCCTACCAGGCTCCTCCATCCATGGGATTTTCCAGGCAAGAGTAACAAAGCCTTAGCCCAGCCAAAAATAAACTAAAAAAAATTTTAAAGGCAATTTAATATGAAAGTAGGAGCTACCATTTATTCATTGCCCATCCTCCTACTGGGTCCTCTGTTTTTCCTATACATCTACATTTTAAGAGCACGTAGCCACATGTGGCTGTGGCTACCATATTGGACAGTACAGATATATTAGAACAGTTCTGTCATCACAGAAAGTTCTACTGGATGGTGCTGCTTTAAAGAGGTTAATCAAAGGGTAAGAAATTCTGGGGCACTTCCCTGGAGGTCCAGTGGCTAAGACTCTGTGCTCCCAATGCAAGGGGCCTGGGTTCGATCCCGGGAACAGAAACTAGATTCCACATGCCAAGACTAAAGATCCCGCAATGAAGATCAAAGATCCCATGTGCTACAGTGAAGACCTGGCACAGCCAAACAAGTTAATTAAAAAGGTAAGAAATTCTCAGACTCTACTCAAAACCAGGTATTCCATATCCACTAGATTCTCAGTGGGGGTCAGGGAGAAGAACAATTCTAGGAAGTTATATCAAATCACAGCCACTGTGGGGTGATGGTTAAACTGAAGGAGGGCAGACTTTTTCAAACTCGATGTATCTCCCTAGAGATTCTTACGTACCTACTAGGGAAGGTTTATATTGACAGAATGACCCCTGTGAGAATCACTGCCTGAGTAAATAAGCCTGTGTTACTGGTGGGAAGATGCAAGTCACTTGGGTGTGCCAGGGCAGGGGGAAAACAAAAAGAGGGCTACCAAGTACCACAGAAAAGAGATCTCAAGTACAAAGAGGAGCAGAAGGGGAATGTATGAGGAAGTGTGTGTGTGTGTGTGAGAGTGTGAGTGTGTCTGTGTAACAGGGATTTATGAGTCTTTCTGTATATGCACTGTACGCATGTATAATATGACAGGACGGTTTTTAAAAAGACACCATAAATGGACTCTGCTTTGTTTAGGAAATTCTAAATAAGAACCTAGCTTTCTGTATGTATAAGAGGGAAATAAAAGTCAATTGCTTTTAAAGAGGTAAACATCAATCTCCTTCCAAATACCTGCTGTAAGTCCATCTTCATCTCCTGAAGCCTCAGTTCCAACACATGACTCCAAAGCCTTGAGTAACTTCCCAGTACCTCCTATGTAAGCCCACATATTAAATCGTGACAACCATGGCCATTCTTGATTAAATTTTTGTTTTTTATTTCACTACTGGCAGCTCAAACCTTAGGCTCGAGGCAAAATGTCTCACTTGTTAGTCCTTATGGTCGGGAGAAAAATGGATCCCCAAAGAAGTCCACGTCCTGATTCCCAGAACCTGTGAATATGTTAGTTTACATGGCAAACAGGAATTAAGTTGCAAGTGGGACTAAGACTGTTGGTCAGATGACTTTAAAGAAATCAACCTGGACCACCCAGGTGGACCCAGTGGAATCACAAGGGTCTTTAAAAGAGGAAAGAGGCAGAAGAGAAGATCAGAGCAATGTGATGTGAGGAGGACTAAACCTGCCTTTGCTGGCCTGGAAGATGAAGGGACCCTCAGGTCAAGGAGTACAGGCAGCTTCCAGAAGCTGTAGAAGTCAGGGAAATGGATTCTAGCTTGGAGCCTCCAGAAAGACAGTAGCCCTGCCAAGACCTTGATTTTAGCCAAATGAGGCTCGTGTCAGGCTTCTGATCCATAGACTATAGATAAGAAGTTTGTGCTAAGTCACTGATTTTACAATAATTTGTTACAGCAGCCACAGAAAACGAATACAGTCCATGACATACTTCTGCTTTTGTGACCACTGGAGTTTGGCACATGCCCTCCCAGTGCATATGAGGGTCCTAAGTTGCTTCAGTAGTGTTGGACTCTTTGCAACCCTATGGACTGTAGCCCACCAGGCCCCTCTGTCCATGGGATTCTCCAGGCAAGAATACTGGAGTGAACTGTTATGCCCTCCTCCAGGGGATCTTCCTGATCCAGGGATCGAACCAACATCTCTTGCACCACCTACACTGGCAGGCAGGTTCCTTATCACTAAGTGCCACCTGGGAAGCCCACCCTCCCAGTATCTGAAGGTAATTAATTTGATCATCCACCTATTCAACTAGGATCTACTGAATGCCTGCAGGCATTGCTCTAGGATACAGAAGTAAATCTGATTTCAGTGTTGACCATCTGGTGATGTCCATGTGTAGTCTTCTCTTGTGTTGTTGGAAGAGGGTGTTTGCTATGACCAGTGCATTCTCTTGGCAAAATGCTATTAGCCTTTTGCCCTGCTTCATTCTGTACTCCAAGGCCAAATTTCTCTGTTCCTCCAGGTGTTTCTTGACTTCCTACTTCTGCATTCCAGTCCCCTATAATGAAAAGGACATCTTTTTCGGGTGTTAGCTCTAAAAGGTCTTGTAGGCCTTCATAGAACTGTTCCACTTCAGCTTCTTCAGCGTTACTGGTTGGGACATAGACTTGGATTACCGTTATATTGAATGGTTTGCCTTGGAAATGAACAGAGCTCATTCTGTCATTTTTGAGATTGCATCCAAGTACTGCATTTCGGACTCTTGTTGACTATGATGGCTACTCCATCATAGACTTCATCAGATGGACATCATAGACATCAGCACATGGACATCACCAGATGGTCAACACCAAAATCAGATTGGTTATATCCTTTGCAGCCTAAGATGGAGAAGCTTTATACAGTCAGCAAAAACAAGACGCAGGAGCTGACTGTAGCTCAGATCATGAACTCCTTATTGCCAAATTCAGACTGAAATTGAAGAAAGTAGGGACAGCCACTAGACCATTCAGGTATGACCTAAATCAAATCCCTTATGACTATACAGTGGAAGTGAGAAATAGATTTAAGGGGCTCAGGTTGGATGCATGAGACAAGTGCTTGGGCCTGGTGCACTGGGAAGACCCAGAGGGATAGGGCGGAGAGGGAGGTGGGAGGGGGGACCGGGATGGGGAATACATGTAAATCCATGGCTAATTCATTTCAATGTATGACAAAAACCACTGCAATGTTGTAAAGTAATTAGCCTCCAACTAATAAAAATAAATGGAAAAAATAATAATAAATAAATAAATACAAAAAAATAAAATAAAATAAGTGAAAGAGTCAGAAAAAAAAAAAAAGATTTAA